AGTGTACAATGCTCACAGGTAATATACCACCTTTTAAACTTCAATACATTCCCAGTGCAATGTGGAGAAAGAAAGATTCAGAGATTATGGAATAATCATCTCCAAATCGATCAATTTTCCCCTGAAGGTAAAACTGAAAGAAATAAAAAGTTGAGCAGTTCCAGCTACACTGCTTGAAGTTTAAAAGGAAAGGACCCCTAGGGCACATTGTGGAGTGATACCTATCTCCTTTCTGGTGCTTATTAACAGGTCAGAGATCTCCGTTACATTTACACTATTCCCACGTGACATCCCCTACTAGGTATGGTGACCTTTCAATCCAAATAAAGAATTAAAAACAGAAAGTCCTTTAAACAAAGTTTTTTTGCAATCATCAGCCATTTTGGAATTGCAGTATAAGTTTATTGAAAACTCTCAGCAGTATCACCTTCAGCAGTTCCTTCTTAATATATTTGTATGACTGCATGTTAATATTACTTCGTGACTCCACATGAGTTCTAGTTTTCAGAACTATTTTGCATACTACGCTATGCGACTTTAAAAGCTATGTTTGGCCTTTGAATGACACTTCCAAAAGCAACTGGACAAAAAAAATATTGATTTGATTTCAGGTTATACTAAAAGAAAAACAAATTGATTAAATACAGTTAATATGATTACTGCCCATTATTGTGCTGCATTAATTCTTTACCTTCTAATTTGAATTCAAGGGGCATCCATGCACATCAAATAACTGTATTTTTCAATGTTTTAACCACATATTTTTGTTGGTAGAATCTATGAAATTTGAATCGATATAAACACTGAAAATAGTCAGCAGTATTTTCAGTATAATTTTTGGAATAGTTACAGTACCAAATTTCTTTAAAGTACAATTTAAAAAAACAAACAAAAAAACCTTCCAAGCCTTTAGACTGAAGTTATTGTCCCAAAACTGTGCTCAGTGCTTGATAATAACTCACAAGATAGAGAAATGCCTAAAAGAGTTAGCCCTGGGAGTAAAGAGAAGTACTTTTGTATCAGCTCTAGAAGTAAAAAAAATATTACATCATTCATACAGGTTGCTAGATTCAGCTTTTCTTGGCATACAGTTTGGATTATCTTGGCAGAGATCTGATCCTTGTTTCTTTTTTTATGTGCAGTGAACATATTCTGCAAAAAAATAACTTTCTTAGACAAGTATTTGACTGGGTTGTGCAAAGCATGTAGGCCTTGCCTTAACCTGGACCACAACAGAATAATGTATGGCTACACTTTATGGGAATGTTTCAGAGGTATTAACATTTAAGTTCAAAAAATATTTTTATAGCATTCTAGAATTCTCAAGAATTTTCAAAAGGGAAAAGTTGATGAAATTTAGAAAACTATTCTCATCTGATATCTTTTATATAAATAAAATATGTATGCATATATAAACACATCTCAGGTACAACTGTACAGAAGTCCGGTCTACTTCATTAAAATTTGCTTTTATGTTAGCAAGTTTATACTGGGGTAGAATCAAGAAAAGCAACTTGGATCAAGCCTGGCCAAGAACAGTCATTTGTAACTTGTCAGTGAGGCTAATCCAGGTAGTCCTTGACTTACAACCATTCGTTTAGTGACCATTCAAAGTTACAACAGTGCTGAAAAAAGTGACTTATGACCTTTTTTCACACTTACGAACATAGCAGCATCAACATGATCATGTGATCTAAATTTGGATGCCTGGCAACTGGTTCATATTTGACAGTTGTAGTGTCCCAGGGTCATGTGATCACCTTTTGCAACCTTCTGACAAGCAAAATCAATGAGGAAGCCATTATTCACTTAACAACTGTGGCAAGAAAGGTCATAAAATGGGGCAAAACTCACTTAACAACTGTCACGCTTAGAACAGAAATTTTGGATTCAGTTGTGGTTGTAAATTGAGGACTACCTGTAGAAGAACACTTCCTAAAAGTAATGCATTGGGTATCCTAGCATGTCTATTAGCCTAAATATCTTCCTCTGAGGGATACTACTCTAAGATGAAATTTTATCTCTTAGATAACTCTGAAGGGAGTTTGGGCCAGTAAAAAAGTCTTCAAGGGCTTCCGGTGGTAATGTTTCACCAGGGAATGCTCATTCAGAATCAGATATGAACAACAAGACTATCTGTCCCACTGCCTTTGTGCGAACACTCCTTTCATCCCTCCAAAATCCACAAGATCAGGAGACAGTAAATCATTCTGATTCATTTTTGTATAAATTTGAATTAGAACTTAACAAATGCTGGAAAGCATTTATCCTAAATCTATATAACGTTTCAAACTAAATAAAGTTTACTTATTGGGAAAAGATGGCCATCTCTCCACATGTCACAAAACCAATGTTAAGTAATACATTATCAATATATATTATGTTTTTTATTTAACTGTGGCATGATAGACACGTATACCTAATTCAAGCAGTTTTCTGTGATGATTATTTGATTGTCATTCACGTAAGATTCCATGATATTTATTCTCAAGAGGTCTGTACAGAAATGTTGTATTAAGTGCACAATCTCAGCTTCCAGATCTAAAGATTCATTCCCTCTTTTACTGTTCATTGGGAAAACAACCATATAAATTGTACACAGCAGTGTGTTCATGCACCTACAACTTTGCTTCTTGCATCTTCCAACTAGGCTTGACATACACTTAAACTATCCTCCAGAACACAGGGGCAGATCATTTTTGCAATAAATATCATAGTTCTGTATTTACATTACTGATTTCATACAAAATTTGCCAGTAGGTAAAAATAGGCACAGAATCTTTAAAACCTAACTTAGAAAACATACCAAGGTAATTGTATTCTACCTTAAAACAAATATAGTCTTTCTTAGTTTATATTATTTCAGAAATAAGAGTTTCTGAAGAGTAAGCCTTTAGTAAGGAAGGCTTAATTAAATCCTCCGGTTTATTTTCAATTATTTTAATTACCCATCAGCGTAAGTATTTTTTTCAAACACCAAGACCACAGGATTTTTAGGGGAGTCAGTCCCTGCCTTTGAAAACGTTTACTGAAGTGGCAGAACCATTTTAATCCTCATTTAGTATGGCAAGTTCTGCCCTCAAGCATGACCTGGGGTAAAGTATCTAAGGAGTACTGCTCTAGGAATTTCTCCTTTTGCTTCACTTCCCCTGCTAGCAGTCACTCAACTGAACACCCAACTTCAGGCGACATACATTATGGGATTACAAAGGTTTTGTCAGAAAAACAACAACAAACGAATGCAGTCATCTCTTTGTGGTCTAGGAAGACAAACAAAATGACTGATTGGAAGGCATTAACAAAACACTGTAACAATGAAGGAGAGATGTTAAAAAGCTACCCACAGATATCAACATCTTGCCAGGAACAAATGAGAATTGGCTAAATAAATTGATGGTTGTTTCAAAATGCTGAAATGAAAAGGAAGGTGTGGTGTACACCACTTTGTTTCAAATATTAACAGAACAAAAAGCAACACAAATACAACAGAAAAGTAATATGCTGTCATTAACTCCTTTTTGGCAAAGATATTTCAATACTTAAATAGTTTCCTATTCTAACTATTATGGGGCCACACCACTGGTTCATCTAGCCTTATTTAGTCTATCCTATTTGGACCTAAAGCATTTTGCAGAATATTTTCCCTGACTAAAGATCTCTTTTTAACTGAAAATATTAGGAACTAAATGTGGATGCTGTGTTGCCAAGAATTTTGAATAATGATACTTTTCATGCTCATGATTATACTTTTTATTGGGCTATTTTGTAGATGCTATATATGATCTGGTAAACCAATGATCACATATAGTTCATTCCAAGATAATAATGTATTACTGAAGATAGAGTTAAATGTGTCATCTTTGATCAATATTCAGTAGCTTAGTCAGATCTGAACTTCTTTTACAAGTAAATGAAAAAAATAAAGTCATTTGTGTAAGGACCTATTTTATTTAACTGAATGACTGCATCAAGTTGATGCTTATTTAACTGAATGACAGCATCAAGTTGATGCCGAGACACCTGAATTTCTCACATCCTTTTTTTCCAGGAAATGCCCAATACTTTTCTTTTTGCTTTGGTGTGTGTGTGTGTGTTTATGTTTGTGTGTGTGTGTGTGTGTGTGTGTATGCATGCAAATATCTTCATTATTTTCCCAGATATCTAAACATAAAAGTGTTAAGGGAAAAGCATATTAAAGCATAAGTCTCATGATCAAAATGCCTATAATAGCTTAGTCAAATGATTTCTAATCACTTCTCATATTAATATTACTAAGAAACTCTGTCAAAATATACTTGTTTAGAATTCACACAAGTTAAAAAAATGAAACATCAATGACCATTTCTTTCTAATGAGGAGCAAGATCCTCTCATGAATCCATATTTTTAAACATGAAAAGGAGTCCCTGAGGATTGTACTCTGTTAATCATTACCGACTTTACGGGGCGGTGCTCATCTTCGTTTCAAGGCCATTGAGCCAATGAAAGACATTTCCGTGGTCATGTGCCTAGCATGACATTATGGAGTGCTGTTACCTTCCCACTGAAGTGGTACCTATTTATCTACTCGCATTTGCATGCTTTCTTTGGCAGGAGCTGGGGAGAGGATGGGAGCTCATCCTGTTGCGTAGTGCTTGGGTCTCAAACCTGTGCTGCTGGCTTTCCAGTCAACAAGCCCAGAACTGCTGAGCCACCACACCGCCTCTAAATGCAGCTGTACTAAGTTCAAATTTGTAAAAATAGAAGCATTCTATGCCATTTTCTCAGTAAAGAGTTTATTAAATTACAGGACCGAAGCTGGAGTAGGCTAGAAAAACAGTCAAGATTCAACCCATTCAACTCTGCCTGAGAATGTTTACTTGAGCCTTTCTGAAGTGCATTTTTTAAAATAAAATAATAATGGATGGAAATAGGAAAGAATTGAGAGAAGCATCATTGTAGAAGAAACCTAAAATCAGAAACCAAACCGTGTAAGCAAATAAAATGAGAAGTATTGTTTACCTGCCAGTTGACATTGATTAATCTTGTGCTCTGTGATGTCACTCAATGACTCGAACACCTGGAGGCAGCTGTCACAGCTGTGCACAGCTTCTTCCTCTAATTCCTCCCCTTCTTCCGGTCTTTTCTTACAATCTATCAACTCTCCATCGTCTGTCCTGTCTTCTAGTTTACAGTTTAGATCTGAAAGAAAATGAAGATTATGACTCCAAGGTTTTGGAAGAAACAATCCTGTTTAAAAAATTGGACTTTGGGTGGATTTCTTGTATTATTGTTGTTGTTCAAGATATTCAACAGGTACAAAAATACTTCTGGCTTGAGGCTGCAGAACATGAACATTATGCTAGAATTTACAGCTCAATAAACAGAGGAAGCATCTATCCTTTCCATTCTCAATTACTTTTCTTCCCAAATAGCATTCCCTTCTGCAAAAGGAATGCTTCCATTTGTCACAGTTAATTTTGTCAACTTTAATGCAACTATTGGGGGCTTTTCATCACTTGAATAATTTAAAAGAATAAATCCCTTCTACAATGCAGCACAATCTAATGAAAAAGAGTTTTTTAAAAAAAAGTTCCAGGGAATAAAAGCCAGGTTTTAACTTTTTTAATGCTAGAACTAACTTGCTGCCATGAGAATGAAACTGATATTAAGAAAAAGCCAAATGATCAGCTTTTATTGCCATATAAAATTAAAATTAAAAATCAATGCTTTATTCTAGAATGATTTAACCCATCTACTAATTAAATAAGGATGCACTAATCTGCAAAGAATAATTTGCTCTAGAGGCCATTTTGCATCATTATTTGTCTTAATAAATATAGTAAGAGGTGAAATAAAGATCCAGCAGATAATCTAGCTATAATTCAGGAATAGAAAGGATGAGTTTAGTTCAAAATATAATGTACAGAAACTGATTGTGACAAATTCCTTGTATAAAGGAAATCTAAGCATCATCCAATACTACTTCAGTTTGGTAAATAACTAGTGAAAAGTCAACTATTTAAAACTTTGTTTTAAATTAATTTGTTTCTAAAAACATAACATAGGAAAGAGCATTTTTATCCTATTTCTGTTTTTCCTCCTTAAAACATTTTAAACAAAAATAATAACTATAAAGAGAGAAAAGAAAGAAAAATGAAAAGTAGTGGATAAAAGAATAAAATATCAGTAAATAATTGTAACAAAATGTGAAGTTTAATATTATTTTGTAGAACTGGGGGGATTGTGTCATTTAAAGCATAACTAGAAATCTCTAAAACTCTAAGCAAGACATTAACATTACTATTTATTATTCCAAGTATAAATACATAAAAGAGAATAAAAGCGAAAAAAAAACAAACAAATTTTAGAATTGTAAACCACCCAGAGTCACTTGGTTGAGTTGGGTAACTATAGAAATTGAATGAATGAATAAATTGAATAAATGAATGAATGAATGAATTGAATAAAATGTCATTGAAAACTATTGAAAAATACTTAAAAGATACAAATGCAATCAAACAACTTATATAAAATATGCTTGGATACTGCAGTGGAATATTTCCCTTCAAGGACCTAAGTGTGTTAGCATGTTGGACTTGAAGTGGAGAGATCTAGATTCAAATCTCTACTCATCTCTAAAGGTCACTGTTGATTTTGATTCCAATGTATGTATGTCACAGAGAGTTGGCGAAGGAAAAAATAGAACTTTACCTAGCTCACATTAGACTCCTGATTTAAAAACTGGATATAACTCTATTAACTCATTCAAAAAAATATAACAGAGAAAGAGCAAAAGATATAGATGCCCCCTTGAGTTATTTGTAAAAATAATAAAGGCAGGATGCAAATAAATAAAAAAATCTTACTTTAGCATAATTTCTGCAACTAGCTCTTTATCTGAAAAATCTTTATATCTTATGTTGCTTTAAGGTCACATATGCTAACAAAACTGCCAAATTTTCTTGTAAGTGCATTTCCAGCATTTGCATCTACCTAAGTCTAGCAGTTAAAAATACTACTAGATTATAAGTGGCAAAGGAAATGAAATAATTATCTTTAACTGTTGCAAACTGACCCAGAATCATTAAACATTTGTTGGAAAGCACCACATACTATTAGATATTCAGCTGAAATTCCCAAATTCATCTCATAAAACTGACTCAGGCAAACATGGGCACTCAATCTGAATTTTAACATGACTATTTAAATGCTGCACATAAAGTTTACAAAGCTATTTGTTTTAAAGTGACTTTAAGTGAAGGGAGAATGGGATGCAAGTATACTCAGCTCTTACTATTCATGAATGCTGACCCTTAACAAGAATCCAATAATATAACAGACATGAGTATACATGCAGAGAGTTTAGAATATGAAATCTTCCTTGCTTAGGACAATCAGGACAGATCTATCTATTAGCAGATTTTTTTTTCAAATTATATAATAAAAGTCATTGGTGAGAAAAGCAGTTACATCTATTTATGCATTCACAGATTTAAATCTGCTGGGACAGGAGTCAGGCAACTTAGTTCCTTCTGCCGTTACTTTAGAATGTATGTTCTAGCAAAATGCTATGTTAGTTTTTAGGTCAATTCTTAAAGCGACAAACCCATGAGACTGGGTTCAGTCACAGCCCCTGTGTAATGAATTGTGGCAGCTTCTGCCTTCTCTTGATGAATATATTTTCCATTCCTACTTTTTTCTCTGAAAAGGTACTCTTACTATAAAATCATGGATACTGAAATCAGAGTTATAGACTCATATAAGAGTTTTGAATATCAGTGAAATGGTTCATATGGACTGTAAAACAACTGTTTCAAACTTATACAGGACATATTGAAATCAAAACCTTTTGCACACATCTAGCTGGCATCAACTTATACTTTAGACCAGTGGTGGCGAACCTATGGCACGGGTGCCAGAGGCGGCACTCAGAGCCCTCTCTGTGGGCACGCGCGCCATCACTCCAGTCCTAGGCCTTCAGCTGGGTTTTATAAAAACCTTTTCGCTTTAGGCCTCTGCCGCCCTGTACAAAAAAAAAAGGTTCAATCAATCAGTCAATTTCAACTTCTCACGGAAAAAAAAAGATCTTGCAAAGTTGGAATTGATTGATTGAACATTTTAGTCCCACCTAGTCTGCTGTTACCATGGCAGCCATACCCACCCATGGGCCACACCCACCCAATGGGCCACGCCCACCCAGCACCCGATGATGCATAAGTGGGTTTTGGTTTGCAGTTTGGGCACTCGGTCTCTAAAAGGTTCGCCATCACTGCTTTAGACTTTAACTAGAAGTATGAAGTGCCAAATCAATTCGCTTCAAATATGTTTGGGGCAAATGTTATCCTATCAACTCTACATTAGTATCTTCCAGTATTTTAGAATAGTTTTAGAGTAGTTCTTATGAAAATGACTATATATTGCCAATTGCTCATAGGTATGAGAATTTTTTGATGAATGATGAACTTCAAAATAGGAATTCTACATCTAATTTCCAGGTCTAACATGTTTGCATACAAAACTGAACACATTCTTTTTCTTAGTTCTCAGCTACTTTTTATTAAGACAGGCATTATAAAAATCCAGCTCCAGTTTTATGATATTTCAAATGTGATATACGTAAATGAGAAAAATGATTTTCTTTGAAATTACTTTTCAATTAGGGATGGATTTGCATATATGTTCTGATGACCCATTTATCTAAGTTATCTTTCACATACTCTTTACCTCTCATATCACCACTTCTAAACACTTAAACTTTTCTAAATACATACTCTCCTTAAAGTGTTTTAAGTAGACTAATAACTTTTCCTTACAGTCAGTGGCTCTAAATAACAGATTTACCAGAGAAATTTAATCTTCAATAGACAAGCGCCAACCTAGATATAAAATATTCACCTTTCTAAAACAGAGTTATTTGTAAAGCTTGCATGAGTGAACCAAACTAACAAATCCAAAACATTTACTCACAAAGAGATAATCTTTCTACTTCTACCTGTAGATTTGCTACTTTACAATTGCTAAGAATTGTAAATTCTTAAAAGCTTAAAGCCTCAATCAGAATGGACTAGATGAGCAAACCAGACTGACACTTGGAAATCATACTTAATATTAACAATTATTTCAGCATTGTTTATCTACCAATATGACATGCTGCAGCAAAAAAAGAGCTGTGAAATAAATTCTGCCTATTGATATAGTATATAAATAAACTGCTAGTGTTTTTTTATGTTGGCTATTTATATAAATAATAGAAATTTTAAAAATAGTATATTTTCCCATAGCTTTTTGTGCCCATTGACTTTCTCTCCCTCTTCTTTCTCCTCACAAGAGATATTATTGCTGTAACTTGATCCAATGAAACCTCAATTTGGAGGATAATGAAAAATACAAATGCTTAAAAAAATTAGAAGCAATAAACCTAAGAACACCAATTAACTTCCAGTAAGAGATTGGTTTAAGGTCAACCTTAAAGGCAGAAATCCTTCTCTAGTCTTAGAACACTTACTTTTAATAACCTATACAAAAATAAAATTTAAATTTAAGTAATGGCTATCTAACAGCCATCCCAGCAGACAATATGTATGCTTGAAAAGTCATCTTAAATATTTTTCTCCATGAAGCATAGATCCGTAGCTGAGCAAGAGCCTAAAATGTCACGCTAACCAGGAAAAAAGCCCAGTTTCCAGTCCATTTGACTGCATTTTAATGGACCTCCTTCCAAGCCACTTCTGCATGGAAAAGTGCTGGCAAAAGAAAGGAAAACTAAGAGATCATGTGGTTATAATTATGACCAGGAAAGGAATATTTCTGCAGTTTAGCAGTGAAGTAAAACTCTATCGTTGTCTGCTCCCAACAGTGTCCATTGCAAAACAACTGCCTCATTAAATCTCTGCAGTAAGATTAATATGCCGTAGCTGCACTACATTTATAACTTGGTACTCCATAAAAAGCACATTTAATGGAAACAGCCAGAGCCCTGATACCAAGTATTACTTGAAAAACTTCAGACCGTATGTAGAGAACTTCTTATTCTTATTTGTCTTCAAAACAATCAAATTTGAATCAGCTGGAAGACTCTGAGTTTTACTCTTGCCTTAATCATAAAGTCTGCTTCGTGACTTTGAGCCAGTCACTCTCTCTCAACCCTAGTGAGAAGACAAACCACTTTCAAACATAAAAGTAGTCCTTGACTTGTGACCACAATTGACCCCAACGTTTCTGTTGCTAAGTAAGAAAGTTTAAGTGAATTTTGCTCCATTTTATGACCTTTTTTGCCATATTTATTAAGTGCATCACTGCAGTTGTTAATAGCATGGTTGTTAAGTAAATCTGGCTTCCCCATTGACTTTGCTTGTCAGAAGGTCACAAAAGGTGACCCTGGGACACTGCAACAGTCATAAATACATGTCAGTTGCCAAGTGTTTGAATTTTGATCACATGCCCACGGGGATTCTGCAAAGGTCATAAGTGTGAAAAATGGTCATAAGTCACTTTTTCTGGTGTTGTTGTAACTTCCAATGATCACTAAATGAACTGTTGTAAGTCAAAGAATACTTGTACAGCTAAAAAAATAGCTGAGACACAAGTGCAGTCAATTGCCAGGATTGACACTGATTCAAAGTTATCGATCAATCAGGATATATGAATATATCAATAATTTTAATTGAAATATTTCTGTGGCAGAATACAGAAGATAGCTCTCTGCCATACTGTCTCCCAGATACACTAACTGCACTTACTGTATACTGTTCTCACATACATAGTCTCTCTTACTTGAAAGCAACATTAAAATGGCTAAGAAGCTGGCAGAACGTTTATAGCAGAGGAAATGACTAAGGAGAGACAGAAAGCTTGGGCTGGACTAAAAAGGGGAGAAAAGGAAAGTAGTTAAGAACCAAAGGTGGAATTAGGCAGTTTGGAGATGCTGAAAATTTTTTCCCAATGATTCCGTAATCATTCAACATCACAGAGAGCAAGACTATACAGAAAGAGATCTGTCTGTACAGTGCAGACACAAAGAGAAAGAAAATACTCCAAGATGACCAAAAAAAAAAAAAAGGTCAGGGTTGTCCAATCTGTGAGAAGTTGCCAGCTAAGCTATAGCTGAAGCCCTTGATTAACTCTTTGAGGAATATAGTAAGAACTACACACCTAGGAACAGCTTAGGAAAGGCACATATTTTATTAGCAGAAGTAATATTATTTCAAGGAGGAAGATAATTAACCTTGGAATGGTATAAAAACTGTGATAGAACCAGTGGACCATAAAACAATTTGTTACATTCTTTTGAAGGCAGAAGAGAGGGAGACCGGAATATGTTTGTATGCATTAGCTGAACGTTGCTTGCATAATTAGCTGACTGAAAGGTACATCTTGTAGAGAAATTAGTATCTATGTGTGTTGTGGTAAGAATGTAGCAAAAACAAAGGGGTAGTTCACAAAGTTGTTGCATGCTGAACTTTGACCAATTCATCCTTGCAATTCACTACCATCTTCAGAAATAAATTTGTCCCATAAATTTAAAATTATTCAGGCCTGGCATATTTTTCCTGCACAAATTTGTGTGTGTGTGTGTGTGTGTGTGTGTGTGTGTGTGTGTGTGTGTGTGTGTGTGTGTAGACAGACAGACAGATACAGATGATATAGATATAAATGATAAGAGATATAGATATAAATATAAGAAATAAATAATAAACTGTGATAATTTCCAAAGATCTGGAAGGACGTTTCACTCATCCCATCTGGGTGTTTCTAATAGCACTTAAATATTAAATATTAAAATATTAAATATTTAAATATTAAATATTAAACCTGAAATAAATAAGGCCAAAATACTTTAATATCAGAAAGATAGCATGAATTAGTGAGTGTGCGTTTGTATTGTGCAGTATAGCTTTTTCTGACAGCTAAGCCAATCTTAGATTACATGTCAAACAGTCAATTATATTTTAATGCAAATTACCTAAAACTAAATAGCAACATGGAGTGATATCACTTACTATAGATATTTAAAAACTGACAAGACAAACACATTGGAAAATATGTTCCTACCCTCACAATAATTGTACAAATTCCTGTTTTCTTTCAAATAAAAATTCATTTCTCCTATCAGTTATATAAATATCCAAAAACATCAGGTTAAAAAAAAAGAATTTATTTAAACAACTAATCTGCTGTACTGGACTGCTACTGTAGGTAAATATAACATATACAACATTCCAAAAATCTGGACGTGAATCTAACTTTATTGAGAGTGGAAAATCATGAATTAGTTACATTAAAAATTGCATAATTCCAAATCACTTTATCAAAGGATCATCCAGTCTGATCTATCAGCCTTCTTCACCTAGAACAGTGATGGCGAACCTTTTAGAGACCGAGTGCCCAAACTGCAACCCAAAACCCACTTATGCATCGTAGGGTGCCGGGTGGGTGTGGCCCATTGGGTGGGCTTGGCTGCGGTAGTAACGGCAGACTGGGTGGGACTAAAAAGTTCAATCAATTCCAACTTTGCAAGAACTTTTTTTTTCTGCGAGAAGTTGAAATTGACCGATTGACTGAACCTTTTTTTTTTTTGCACACGGCGGCGGAGGCCTAAAGTGAAAAGGTTTTATAAAACCCAGCTGAAGGCTGAGGATTGGGCGACGGTGCACGTGCCCACAGAGAGGGCTCTGAGTGCCGCCTCTGGCACCCGTGCCATAGGTTCGCCACCACTGACCTAGAAGCTCTCCAAATATGTTGGACTTCAACTGGACTTTAATCCCAGCAGGTATAAAAATTGTCCTCTGCTGGTTGGGCTTATTAGATTGGCAATGATGAAAGCACCTAATCAGGAAAATCTGGTTTGTGCAATTGCAACGTATATTTTTAGCTTCTTAAATATAAGAAAAGCACAATTAAAGCAGTAGTATTTCTTTTTAAGATTGCTGGGATCCTTATAATTTAATCTATAAACCAATACCAATAAAACATACAATACAAACACTTTTTGCACAAAGAATATTTAATTATTATTTCCAGAACAAGTAATTAAACAAACTAAAGGACTTAATTGTCCCTATAGCACAATTTTTTTCAAAGCAGAAGCAAAAAACTAAAGAAAGAGCTGTTATAAGAAACAACATGTTATTAACCTCTATTATAATGAACAGGTCAAATTTCCAGCCTAAAATCTTGCTGACTGAACTAAGTCTTTATCTGCATAACTCCCAGTGACTTAAATGTAGGGATCAGTGACTACTAACAAAATCAGTGGATTAAGATTTAAACTGCATGCTTATTTGTGAAAGTAACCAGCCTGCAGAAATGCCTGGCCACAATCCAGAAATGTGCACGTGCCAGAACAATGTAAAGAAGTTTTATTCTTCTTTTGCCGCTTCCTTGTGATAAACTCACACCCCATGTGTAAACTTCCACTATTTTAAAAATATAAGCAGATGATCCTGTGTAAACCAAACAGAAAAATTGGTCTTCTAGAAAATAGATCAACAAATAGCTAATTTGTACACAGATCTGCTTCAGAAGCATAACAGAAGTGTTCTATGTAATGTTCTTTTTAAATAACTGAAGGAGAACTCATGTTTACAAAACATGAGTTTTAGAAGTCCATATCTCTCTTTAAATGTTCCATTGTTTTCTGCATGATGAGAACAAACCAAATATGTGTCATGTTTTTGGAAGACAGAGAAATACGATGGTAGGCATGGAAATTACCTATCGGCACTGCTGATTGTTCCACTCCTTCCTGGTCCTCTGATTCATTTTCTTCTACTGTCAGGGGAAGATAAAAATAAACAAGAAAGTAGTAAGTAAGGTAAATGTCTTAAAATTTCCAAAACACAGACATTTCTGTTTCACCTCTTTCTGTTTCTAGCTATCATCCCTTTTCATGTTGAAGAATTTTTCTTGCCTGGTACAAGATTATCTAAAAGGAATTTGAATCAAATCTAGAGTCACCTTTGAAACTATTCAAAAATGTTGCACATCTTAAAAAAAAAAATCAGTCCTGGCCAAAGCAACTGCCACAAACCTTATCCTTACTTGAAAAATCCAGCTAGCACAAGTACCAAGAACTAGCACCTTCTTAACCCATAAATTTGGAAATGTATTACAATTTTAAACTTAATCCAAATATTACTAAATCAAAAGATGTAGGACTTTGAATATAGAACTTGTCTACTCAATGTACCACATTAGTGCAGATTTCTCATTCCAGTAACCCTTTCAATTTGCCTGAGTTACAGTCGGCTTCATTGGACTGAAGTTATCCAGGTAATTGACAGTTGGCTATAGAACCAGAATCCTGCACCATAGCAATTTGTAAAGAAAATTACTTCTTTTTAACACCATTCAAGTAAGCACAAAATCTACTAATCTGCGTAGACAGTAGAATATTGGACCTCTTCTCCAATATTAAAGCAAAGGATTTATGCAATAGGCACAAGCCAAGATGGGCATTTTATTCACACATTCATGCACACACATACACAAATTACCTATATCAATGTTTTCACAAACTTGAGATAATGTATGATAATAACTAATTTACAGCGTTATTTTATAATATACTTAATTCTTAATTCTTTTTATAGAATTGTAGCATAATATTCTTTAGCAACTAGACACGTAAGCGAAAAAATAATCTATTAATATGGAAGTTATGTCAAGTATTGTGAAAAATAATTAAGAATATTTAGATAGACAGATTCCCCTATGGATTGCCTAGCTCCTATGATTAGAATACTAGAAAGCACATTAAGCCGATCCCTACTTAAGCCAACATATATATGTGTCATTGCACCTAAATGTTTGAGCCTTCTATTTAGATGTATTTGCTTGCATCTATATCAGGGGTTGTCAACCTTGGCTCTTTTATGACTCGTGAGCCAGCTTAGCTGGCTCAGGAATTCTGGGAGTTGAAGTCCACGAGTCATAAAAGAGCCAAGGTTGACTACCCCTGATCTATATGTTTGCCAGATGGTAGCGAAGACAGGTATGAAGTCTCCAAAACGTACTCTCAATCTCTTCCCTGATATCTAGTAAACAGCAGCAGCACTTTGAGATGCAAAGAGTAGGCTTTTGAAGAAGTATTCATTCAATTAGTAATAATAATAATAATAATAATAATAATAATAATAATAGTAGTAGTAGTAGTAGTAGTAGTAGTAATAAAGTTGGAAGGGACCTTGGAGGTCATCGAGTCCAACCCCCTGCTCAGGCAGGAACCCTACACCATTTCAGACAAATGGCTGTCCAGTCTCTTCTTAAAAACTTCCAGTGTTGGAGCATTCACCGCTTCTGGAAGCAGGTTGTTCCACTGGTTAATTGTTCTAACTGTCAGGAAGTTTCTCCTTAGTTCTAAGCTGCTTCTCTCCTTGATCAGTTTCCACCCGTTGCTTCTCGTCCTGCCTTCAGGCACCTTGGAGAATAGCTTGTTACTTAATGACAAAATATGTATCATGATATTGTAATACAAGCTCTATCTTTTACACATACGCCTGCAGTATTTTATTCTTTGTCTTCCCTCAAAAGATGCCTAAAAGTCTTCCTGCCTTCAGGTAACCTTTCAAAAAACAACAACAACCCAGCAGCATGTTCTAATGACAATGTTTTAGATGAGTGATATAAAGTGGATGAATGGGAGTAGGTGGGGGAAGACATTCTGGTCATATTTGCAGAAGCAGAATAGAAATTATCTTATTTCCTTGCAGTCAGCAACATATGCCAATATTCCAGTAAACGTCAAAGTCTCTGCTTTTACTTTTCACTCACTTATAGTTCTTGGACTCAATCAATGATTTCTTCTATTCTTTTTGAGTTTGCAATTACAAAACTGGACTAACAACTAATAGTATTGGTATGAGTCAGGGGAAATATTTTGAATTGCTTACTGAATTGTAAGAAGCTCTTAACTTTATTTAATAAATACTGTAAAAAGTGATCCAGAACATAATTGCAAAATCAGGATGCTTTGAACAAGAGGCAAAGCGAGTCTTAGGCTGTCAGGCTTTTATCTCCTCTTTCTGTTAAAACTTGTTCATAAAATCCATAACAAAGTATTTTTGCCATTTCATTCAAATATAGAAAATGAAGCTTAATAGACAAGAGGTATCAATTTGGGGTATCATTTTGGAATTAGGCCTAATGCTTTTTTTTTTTTATTAAGTAACTGAAACAGAAAAAAATTAGTGTATCATCATGATGACTTTAATTCCTTCCTACCTGAGAGAGAGCTGTAGAAGAAAAAGAAAAGAAAAGAAAGCGTCATTACAGCTTTCTGTTCTGACTGGTTAAATAAATGAAGACTACAGAACAATGTCTATAATGACTATGAATTATAAACACTGAATAGCTACAGAGAAAATAGTACCCATGAAACAAAACAACTCAAATATATATTTCAAATATTTAAGGACATACACATAAATTGAAATATTTCAAAAATATGTTGGTGTATTTTTAATTGGAATGACTTAAAAAAAATATAAAGCTCAACATAGATCAGATTTAGCCAAAAAGTCAATTCAGGTGTTCTGCAGAAGACAAGAACATGTCTCCCCACGATATTGGGAGTAAAAGCCCTTTAAAAAACACAAACTCCAGGATGAGCTCAGCAGTTAGCCTGACAATGCCACAAATTCTTAATAATAGTGACTGTGGTGCTAGCATCCTACCTGCTGTGACAGATGTGAATTCTGTCGCACCTGATAAGATCTATCAAAGCCTTATACTTACTTTCTAAATTTGGTCTATGGAAGCTTATGAAGCAACATCTCAAAACTACAGCATTAGATTAAATCAATAGCTGCTCTGTCAACTTCACTACTACGCTTGTTGTGAATGTTAATGTACTTAATTAACTAAAATAATTCTAACTGCTCCAAATTAATAAATACTAAACAGAACACACACATACACAGAAACATAATACAGTACAAAACATTAATAGATCAGGATGTGCAATCATATGAGCCAAAAATAAGTCAAGTTACTTCTAACAAACCAATCGTATTTTTCATATAATTTACTGTTGCTATCTTTGGAACTTAGAATTGCAAAGAGGACCTTAAGGAAAGCACACACAGTTCTCTCATTGTGGAAGAAAGAGGAAAAAATAGCACAAAGACTTCTTACATTCTATAATACTTCAGAGCATACCTATAATTTCTTCACAAACTGAAATGTCCTCTGAACTGTACTCACTCCTTAAGCAAGCCACACCAAATAATTTTAGAGAGATAGAATATGTCCTGATACTTGTTAATTAAAAACACCAAACAATCCAGAGATAATCTTACTGGTATGATGGTTCTATGTCTGCCTGAAGCCAAAAATGGCTTTCAAATTGGAAGGAAGGAAGGAAGGAAGGAAGGAAGGAAGGAAGGAAGGAAGGAAGGAAGGAAGGAAGGAAGGAAGGAAGGAAAGAAGGAAGGAAGGAAGGAAGGAAGGAAGGAAGGAAGGAAGGAAGGAAGGAAGGAAAGAAGGAAGAAATTATAATTTCCTCTATTCTCTATTGCAATTGTAAAAACTGTTAGTTTTCTGAAGTTTACAATCTTCATGCAGATCTGTACAGTTGTCTCAAAGATCTATTTGCGAACACCCTTGTGAATAAGAATATCCTGGATCATTTCACAAAATTCTATTCTTACTTTGATGGTTACTTCATGACATAATATCTGCTTCTCTGACTGTATTAAAATGAGTATCCACCTGATTTGCATTTATTAAACATATCACTCATTAGTTGGTTTTTCATAAGCAATGCCATACTCATAATTTAAGAGCAATTGCAAAATGCTGTTCCAATATTTTGCAAAATCGCCACGTCCCCTGTTTTTGATGCTTTACTCCATGGAACTGAAAAAAATGCAATTAAATAAAATGATGATAAAGCTAAACAAATGAGAAGCTATGATGAGAGAAGGTACACTCTTAAAACACATACAGATGCTGCATCATAGCTCATCTAACCTTTTCCTTTATCGGTGCTTCTTTAATCTCACCGCAACACAATCCCTTGCAAACAATGATTAGGAGGCATTAGCATTTTCTGTTTGGATGGCAATGCTGCTAACTTCATCACTGAACATTTGTTCAGGGCCAAGACATAAATGGTATACTATAGAATAGAGAATACAAATAATTTCTGTTGTGACAAAGTAAAGTAGATTTGGAATTTGCATAACAAAGGCATACCTCTGGGGCAAAACGTTTCAGAGCATTGAAGCAGCTACAGAGAAAGCTAACTCTGGTCCAGTTTCCGCACCACCACCACTCTAAGCAGCGTGTTTCTTGATGACTTTGTACAATGAGAAAAATCATTTCTGAAGAAGCTGGACTTCCAAATAACCTGACACAGCACCATATAAATCTTATAGATAACAACTGATTTGTTTGGAAGCTTATAGGTAACTAGTGCAGCAACCAAATAGGCACAGCTCAAAAATAATAAACTAATTAAGAAATATTTTTCCATTTAGAATTCAACAAATAAGCAACCCTTTCTCAAGCCCTGCTTGATGACATCACCGAAGAGACAATCACCCTAAGTACAGTCCAAATATCCACAGTGGGGAATATGGTTTGGATCCCAAGTTTTCACATGTGAAAACTATTCAGTCATTGAGAGTCAGAAGGCATTCATGATGAACAAATTATTATTATTATTATTACAAAATGTTTTGCTGTGGAGGCTAATTTCAACAGTGTGACTTAGAAAGGAAAGGGAACTCCTTCGTGATGAATTCTGCAGAAGAATGCAATGTAACAGG